TTTACGCGATCCCGCAAACTTTGCAGCTACCCACTCGATGGACACTCTTTAAAGCTTCAAGAGATATAGCTTCCAAAATAGCTTTTGTGGAAGAAACTGCACATATGGTCGGGTAGATTAGCTAAGACAATTGAAACTAGCATCGACTCTTGGGTTTATGCGTGTATAAAAGACAAACATGGTCGTGGTCGTTCATTTGACATCGCGGCATGCTACCTCAAACGGCAATGCTTGATGTCTTGGCATCCTAACTCCCTCAGCAGCGCTGGCCATAAAAATTTTTAAGGATGCAAACATGCCATTATGCAAGCACACTGAACTTAGCTATCTTCTTTATTTGGAACCGACTGATGGCGAAGTATTTATTTAAGAGCCTTATTGTTCTTTATGATGCAGCATATTTTGACCGTTTTAAATGCGTAGAATAGCTTGGGACCGTTTTTCTAGTTTCGCTTTTCACATGCGTAAAAAATGATCAATACATTCGGCGATAGATTAGTTGTGCTTGACAACAAAAACAAATCATTATACTTAGTTTTTATTCTGTAAAAGAATGAGTTCTACGGAAGAATATACCTAAAGATGCTTTCGGCTTTCGCAAAAAGCATTCTGCCGCTTTGTTCCAAAATTTACGCGGCTTGAAATAAACGATGTCGAATTGTGTTGACAATTTCTCAGTTCTTATGAACAACTGGCGTAAACAAAGGTAGGTTTATTTATTTACAAGGCGCCAAAAATATTGCGTTCCTAACGTGTTGTAATTGTTTTGAGTGCAGCCTTAAAATTATAACGTGGAATTAGAGCTCTACAAAGCATCAAACAAACCAGCTTATTCTTACTGTTTGCTTCGCTCTCTCTATGGCAATGTGCCTCATTTCTCCATGTTTTAAAGACTAAAAAGAAAGAAGGATATCCTATTCCCCTTCATTTGGCTTACCTTGCACTAAATTAGGTTACTTTCGTAGAAAGCAAGCAGGCATACATTTCACGAAATCTCTGGGCTTCACTGAGTTTCAAAACTGTAAGAAAGCACATCGAGTTTCGAACTAGGAAGTTCCTTCCTAATGTACTGTGTAAAGAATATCGGGCTGTAGTAATTAGCGATGCAACCACTCAATGCAAAAAATTTATAAATAAATAAATAGTAAGGAACGAAGGTTAATGGGAAACGCGTGTGTTCAATGAACAGAGGGTAGAGCTCCCGCCCTTTTCGATCTTCAAGCACGCTCATTTAAACCAGCAATCTGGAATGCACATGTAGTTTCCTTCTTCGCTTATGATGTTCTCTCTAAAATTATTTAATTAACTCCAACACCAAGTTTCACCGTCCACCATATTAATTTTTTATGTGATATCATTATTGAAGCTCTTTATATACCTTGGTTTAAGAAAACTTCTTTTTGTGGGTTATTTTTATAACTACTTCTCAGATTGGGTGTGCCTGACTCACCCTCACCAATTAAAGGTTTTCAACTTCCGCAGCAGGGAGCATAATTAACATTAAAAAGTTATGGTGCGTGTAGCTGACCTCAATTTCGCAGGCTTATAAGAAGACTGAATGACCACCTTGATAGGCTGGTAATTACTAATTATGTTTCGCTTTTTTGTCGTTTAGGTTCAGACTCAGCCACTGATTTACTCCAAATTCATAATCTATATAGAAAAGCTACCACGTTTTCTAAATGCGCTACAACAGTAAAGTAAGCAAGTGAAATACTACTAGAAAAGATGAACCGCACTCGTAGCTGAATGTTAGCTGAATTCAACCATATAGCTATCAGTTAAATAATAAAATGTTTGTACACCTTAACTAAATGTTTCCTTTTTAAAGGTTGCTCTCAAGTTTTTGGTGATCGTCAGCTACTCGTTTGTTCGTCTTTTGGCGAAGTTGGTCGTATGCTCGCCTGAAGATATCTGGCAGCATATATTTAAAAAGCACTATACATCTGGACAGAACCGTAATTTGTGTTTGCAAAAAATAACGGCTAATTAACTTAAGTATTTTACAGATATTACTAAAGAGAATCCTTTTAGTTATGAGTCAAGCATCTTTTTTTTTTTACTTTTCTCTATCTCAAAATCAGTAACATCAAGGCAAGTGACCTAAAGCACGATAAGTTCTCGGTCAACTTACAGAATGAGGGGAACCAAGCTGTTCGAATTTCGTTAATGGCTCCTTTCAAAAATAAATGAAAAATTAACATGAACCTAATAAATAAAATTTGGTGAAAGAGAACTACTGATCGAAATATGTCTAAGTTAGTTCTAAAAAAAACCGAAAGAAAATGAAAGCGAGATGACGCGTGACCTAAAGCGACACTATAGTGAAATATTAAGATAACCGAAAAGTTTTACACTGTGTAAAATCTCGTGTCATTCATGTCCCCACTTTATGTATGATAAAAAGGAGAAAGTTAATGTGAAAATGCTTCACTTTTAAATATCCCACTGGGATACCTCGTGATGACGTTATCGACTTCACAAGCTTTGTCCCTTTTTGGCCACATTGGCGCATCAAATTTTTTGAAAAGTTGGTGTATATATGACTCGCTTCTTCGTAAAGTAATGGTCTGCGTGTATACTGACTCGGAAGTGCGTAGGTCTTTGTAGATGCCGTCAAATTCTCCAACATTATCAGAGCGTGCGATAGCTTGGAGCAGTGTCACCAGACGAATCTTACTTTTGTGCATTTTTTTTTCGATTACCAAGCGTCTCATCACTGCGATCACAGGTGTTTCTGGCATCGTGAGGACATCGTTTTTCATACAAAAAATTCTTTTTTAGATGCGGTGCAGCTCTTTGACTAGTTTGTGTAACGCTGTTCCTCCCAAAGCCATCGAGGTGCATTCTAGCGTCGCGCCACAGGTGTTGGAGCGGTGCCAAGTAGGTTAAGTCACAGCTGCGCATTGACGTACGCCACTCTCTCCCTCATTCGCAGTAGCTGCCAGCCCCTTCACCCGCTCGCACACACTTTTCTCTCGCTTCACCCTCTCCCCCATTCACAACACAAAGTCGAGTGGAAACACTGGACAGAGTTAGTTGTGCGTCGGCAGCAGCCGTACGGACGCAGCCGGCCAGCCATCTGCAATGACAGTATTCATCCGTTAGTTATGATGATGATGAAAATCATTTATTATAAAAGAGAGAGGTACGGGGCCAAAGCATGACCCCGCTACATGGTCGGCGTCCTTAGTCCGGGACACCGCATGACGAGGCCCCTACTCGCGCCCGTCTCACCAGAGCCCGTTGAGACTCTAGTAATGAGCAGTTGAGGAGGGCAGTCTCCCATGCCTCTCGGGAAGGGGTAGGGGAAGGGCGTAGGTGGGGATTTTTCGGACATGCCCATACCATGTGGAAGATATCACACGTCTCCCCACAGTGTGGGCACCGCCCATCTGTGTTCGCATCGAAATGTTTTAGGATTGCTGGACAGAGTAGAGTACCTGTCTGCAAGCGCCTTAGAGTTCGCTCTTCCGCCTTACTCAGCCCCTTTGCAGGAGCCGGGTAAAGGTGGTGAGTGTCGCGATAATAGGTTAGAATTTCTTTGAACCGCAGCAGCAGTGTATTGGCCTCCGAGTCATAAGAGCCAAGGTGAGGAGCCCGGTGGGTAAGCGCTCGGGCGGCCGCGTCAGCAGCCTCATTACCTCGTAAGCCCTGATGGCCAGGAGCCTATACGATGCGTTTCGGGGCTGGATCTCCGGACGCGCAACTAAATCTGTCTACTCTTTTGGCTCGTTTATCTGCGATGAAACATACATGATCTCTACCAGCCTCCCGTGTCTGCGTTTCAAAGGAACGTTTACTCGAGTAAACGCTACACCGAGTTTCACTATGAACTGTTCTTCCGGCACCCACGTCAATTCCCGTTTTAACCGGGTCAGCGCCATGCACCCCACTGCTGCTTCGCATCTCATCAGGGAGATGGTCCATCATTTTCTCTACCATATTTGTGTGGCAGTCAAATTGAAAATGCAGGCGCTGTTGGACCAGTCACGATACCGCAGTGACTTCCCCCTTCCATCGTACTCCCCCAGAGGTAGAGGTAAACACTGTTATGAGTTTGCCATCTGTCGCACCCCCTCTGGTGCCATCTCTGGCCTCCCCTCATCTCATCGATGTACTTTCGCGTCTGTTCATGCGAGGAGGCCAACCTTGGCAATGTTAACCTCCGCCTCAGAAGGCCAATCTGGTGATGTTTCACATGAGAAGTCTTGCAGGTACTTCAGTTGTCCCAACTTTAAATGTGCACAAACGAGAATAAACAAATTTTAAAACACTTGAACATGGGCAAGAAAGTGAGGCAGAGTAGAAAAGCGCGCTTATTTCGTGCTGTGTTTCAATTCAGAATTCGCCATTATGAATCCAGACGAAACAGCCAAAGCTTTGACACTTGCAGACAATAAACGACCCAATATTGTATGTTTTGCAGACTGGCTTTTCTTTAATGTTGAGTGTCATACAGTCACACTTAGTCGCTTATCCGGCAACGGCGGCGCCACCAACAGCGTCATTGCGCATGCCCGCGTCCTGCCGAATGCTAGCGTCTCGTGTCAACTGTCACCCTCGCCCTCTCTCCCGCTTCGCGAAGCCAATGCAGGCAGCTCCTGCTAGTGAAAACCGGCTGCTTGCGCTGCACAACCGTTCATAACCCACCCTAAGTATGTAGGCACTGAATCGAACGTTAGCAATTTATTCTAGGGCATCTTTACTTGGCTTTCGCATGACTTGACGCTTTTCATGACTCGAGTAGAGGCGACTTTCAATGAGTAGTGGGGCACAGCCCAACATCAGCATTCCACCTCTTGGTCAAGACAGTGTTTTTCCTTCATTCAATAAATAAGAATAAGAAAGAAAAATATCAATAAAGCATTCCCAAATCAAACCCACTCACGCAACATTCGCGCGGTACTTCCACCACTCTGCGACGCATTCACTCGAGTTCTTATCCGTGGGAAGACCTGGGCGGCATTTTCTTAGTCTGTTTAATTTTTTTCTCACAGAACCGCACAGTTTATTACCACCAAGAATGGCCGAGTACCGCGGCTCAGTTCGGGTCGAGAAAGGAGAGAGGGCTGTACTGCCGTGCCTTGCCCAAGGCCACCCGCCACCTAAGCATCGTTGGTTTCGCATCAGCAGCGCAGAGGACCAGCAAGAGGCCGTCGGACCTGGTGCTTCCGATGGTGTAGAAAGCGCCCTGCCAGTCATGTTGTCCGATACTGTGATACTGCTGCCGGGTGGCCCTTTGCTCTTGCACACGGCTGGAACGCAAGACAACGGAAGATATCTCTGCGTAGCGAACAACTCCGCCGGTGAAGATAGGGCGCACACAGACCTGCTTGTCACCGGTGAGTGTGCACTCCAATTAACAAAAACTTGGTTGATCCCTTCGTCATATAAACTGCTTCAATAAGAAAGTAAAAGGTGTCTTTACAGAAGTAGTGTAGTGACTACTGTGCACTGAGATGTCTGTTGTTGTCGGACAGCTAAAGCACCGTTTTTCGTAAATACATCCATGTTGACGCTAAGTGATACATCTCCGTCCGCACGACTAACGTCCATTGTTAATTATTGGTTTAGGATTCAACATGCTCCTTTGTTCACGGATATCCGTGACATCTGTAGTAGTTAACGGTGAGTGTAGAACCAAAGAAGGCAGTTTGGTAGCAAGAAGAGTATGACTGGTTGTACGCCGAAATTGGGATAAGGTTGCCTACTCGTTGCATGTTCGAGTTATTGAACGCCACTGCCCAAATAGAGAGAAACGCCACGCTTGTTGTTTTTTCTGTGTTCACCATCCATGATTTGTCACGTGGCGAGCGTAAGCGGAGAACGCCAAGAAACTTGGAGTTACATTCTAGTGAAGTAGGCGCGTTGCTCTTTGCGTTCATTGCATGCGTTGCAGAACTATGTTTGGTATAGAATGTTGCTATGAGGCTATGAGCCACGCAGACGCTTTGGGTAAGGTCGCCACTGCCACTTGGAGTGCTATGCACGATAGGCCAAGTTTTGCCCAAGTCCGTGCAACTCGGGATCTTCGCGAGCTCTGGCGACGCCCTCTTATGAACGAGCCAATGGTACAGAAAAGCCAAATCCACCCCTAAGCGCGCTCTGTTTCATTGGTTGCGATAGAACCAATCATTGATTCAAGGATTGTCTACTAAATGGGGGAGTGTTTTCAAACCAGAGGCATCTTCCATCATTTGTTTGTCGTTCCACTGAGTGCAGAAGTGCACGCTGTGAAGACTAGGAACTGGCAGTGCAAGAGATGCCCATCAGCTGAGCTCTCTCAAGGAGTGCTCGTCGACGAGAACGCTGTCTGCGTCCCACATGAGCGCGGGAGCACTCCCAAGTTCACTGCAAGGAACGCGCACCGGCGTGCCAGTGACACGTGGTCCCCGTCGCACACGAACGCTGTTTGCGACGTGGAGGAGAAGCGCGCGCACGGACAGAAGGGGATAAAAAGCGCTTGACAGTTTCATAGGCACATCACAGTCACGAGTTGAGCTCGGGCCTTCTCAGAATCAGCGGGTTTGTATCCGAGCTCACGCGTCCATCAGTTTGATTGACAGACGCCCGCGATGAATATCGAGTCTGCCCACCACTTTTACTCTTGCCGAGAAGCAGTGCTCACGTCGCAACGCCAGTGGGTGCATGGTTCGTCTACCACCTTTATTGCGCAGACTATGCACACACGCACGCAGAAGTAAAGGCTATGTCACTATGCGGCTACCATAAGGGAGGTTTAAATAGCGCCGCGAGCCCTTGCGGTGCGATCACTGCTACTGCGCATGCGTCATAACGCGAGCCGCTGTTCTCGTTCGCAGACAGCCCACTGAAAATCCGAAAAACCGTGTGGCGATCGCGGCCCACGCAGTTTGCGAAGTGCTGTGAGTAGCGTCTGTGCATTTTGGTTTGCGGTCGGAGCGAAAGTCCCCCGACTTTATCTGAGGGGGAGCAAACGCTATTCTAAAACTCATATGGCGCCCGCAACTAAAGCAACGCCCGTGAACGTTATTGTAAACTTCCCTGTGCCTCGTATTCAATTTTATTGCACTCACGACATATCCAATCACAGTCGCGTTGCCGACAAGATGCGAGCGCCCCTGGTGACCACCTGTCCTTACATTTTTCCGCAATACTTGATAGAAGCGAAACGAGCAGCACACGAGTGCTGCGTGTGTAGCCTTGCTGCCTTCGAGAGTGGAAATTTCCATGTTGCAGGCTGAACGAAAGACCAAGTGCGAAATAGGACGTATGACCACGAATACGCCTGTGGGAGGTGCGTGTTGAGTTGGCAAAAATACAACACGACAGTCACGCTGACGTCGCTGCACTGCTAAAATGTTGAGTGAGTGGCAGCGCTGACGTGCTCACACCCGGTGTTTCTTTGATAACCGCCGCAAATGTCACACATGCGTTTCCTACGTTACGCGCGTTCGTGTAACTACTTTTATCAACGCTCCTATGACGCGTCGCACACTGTCTTCATGCCACGGCCACCTCAAGTGAGCTCGGAGCAAACCCTGCTGCCCGAGAAGCTCGGGTCTTCCTGCATGAATCGCACCCTTGACAGTATGTTAAGGCTCTAGAATAGTTACGGCGTTGACAAAATTTCCCTTCGCCCGTGGGAAACGCACCGAATAGGACGGAAGAGTTGAAACGACGCGTTGAAGGAAATAGTCGCAAATATTATGGTCATTAAGCGCTTTTACAATTTGCCAGAGTTCTGTGAGAGGGCAGTGGTAGATATAAAAGGAGTGTTTTTAATGCTTATATGGCCGTGGTGCAGTAGGTAGCATGCCCACCAGCTGTTGTCAAGAACCGAAATATTGCGGGTTTGATTTCAGTTATCAGCACTTTTTGTCTTCAGATCCGTGTTATATTTCAAACGCCATTTCCGTGACGGAAGTACGTCAATAAAATCTTGGTGGAACCCAGCATAAAACACTGTTTTATGTCACACAAGACAGTAATAATTTTGTCATGTTGTCATTAACCAACTTTTAAAGTTCTATTTGCAATTTATGGATAAGCACACGATAGTTTTCTTTGAAGCAACAATGGCACTTTGATTCCGACATGCGGCTGCAGCCGTCATGACGCGACGGTGCGACGGAGCAAGTTTGTCGCTACCGCTTGTCGCTGCCACTTGTCGCTGTCGCTAGGAAATCGCGTGAATGCAGTTAGTACTTCAAACGATTACTTCTTATTGTTTTTGTCGACTACTTTTCAGATATGATTGCATTTAGTAAGTACCTAGTTCCGGGAACACCATGCCGACGGCGTCGGCAGTCTTGCACTTTTTAGTACTCTGATGTGCTGCATCTACGGGAAATACAAAGGGTCACAACAGCTTACTTATGCAAGACGCCTTGGGTCCCCAGCATCGAAACTGTTTAACTACTCGCTCTGAAAGAAGTAAATTTGTTCGAAGTTCTCGTGTCTTTGTTTCATACAACTAATGAAAAGAACAAAAATTAAACCCAATGAAGGCACGGGTAACAATATTTGCTGGGTTATTAACTGCGGTGTAATGATTTGTACCTAAGTTGAAAGTAATTAAACTTCTGTATTCAGATACCGCCTACAAAAATGGTGGTTTTCCATTCACCCCGATTGCTTTCAGTCAATCTCTAAATCATTGCACACTCATTTGAAAAAAGCAACAAATAAAGCACTCAATGGTTTTTTTTTGTTTAGGTTCTCTAGATGGATATACGTGATCTTTAATTTTTTCTTCCAAATATGTAGCATATTCAGAGAGAGCTTCGGGAGGCGGGACCCACTGAAAAAGAGATGACGTTTGTAAACGCGACAAGTCGGAACTCATCAAGTAGAGAAACACGTAATATTTTGTTTGTTTCACTTTCTTAATATGCGTATGCTTGCACATTTTGAACGTGGATGGTTTAAAGTTATTTAAAGCTTTGGTCATGCCCAAGAAAGTGAATAAAAAGCTTCGCAAGATGATACAATATATAAAACAGTTGAAGGTAAAACTTTGCTGCGTTAGGTTATACAATGATTGACAAGACTTGCTGCGAGGCACGACAAGACACAGCATGAGAGACGCCGTTTGTTTACCCTCACGTTATCAGCAGATTACATTCATTCACGCTCTCCATACCTCTCAAGCTTTCTAAACTTTGTGGGGTGTTGCAACACCTTCAATACTGATTCACCCTTGAGTAAGTGATGACGCCAAGTATAGTGACATCATCATAAGACATCATGCATTTTCATAGTACCAATAAATCAATCCATAAATCAGACAACGAACTATTCCACCATTCAATCAATCAACACAGTCAATCAATTATTCAATTAGTCAATCAATCAATCAATCAATCTGGATTTTATTCAGCTTCAAAGACAATAAATGAAACTTGGTGGGTAGAGACATAAAAGTAGTAGGCAAGGCTTAACAGTTTCAGTACCCCGGAGTTGGCAAGCATGGCTTACAAAGTACATACAAGCGAAATAAGCACACAGCAGCCACCCTCATTGGAACATTATAATTAATCTAGTAAATTCAAAAAAGTAATGACCTAGGTCGGCAAACAGAAGTGAATGAAAGAAAAAAAATATGCCACTTTACCCCTTCGCCACGTTATGTACGCTATTCTGCACGTTACTTGTTTTTATCAGTTGTATCGACTTGTGACTAAGAAAGAGCCAGGTACATTGGGCTTTGAATGAATGAAACATCTTGAATAACGAATTTATCTTCATTAAGTTTGCAGTGTACTGTTTCATACAATTACTTTGCTGAAGGCACTTCCATGTTCGGCGACTTCTTTAATGCGCCGCTTTCCGCGAGCGATATATAAAGTGCATTTTTTTTTGTTGACAATCAAAATACCCTAAAATATTTCGCACAGTATTTCTTGCCCAAGACTTGGTCGTATTTATGCAAAACAAGGCATCAATGTTTTCGCAAAAAATAGATATCTAATTGGAGTTACTTGGCAATCATTTCCATAACACATACAAAATCAGCATGTAATGGCATTTTATTTGTTGCAACACAAGATTGAGTGCTTTAAATAACCTTGTCTCGATTTGACTCCCTTATAGTTCTCCAAAGCTATCGCGCTGGCGATGAACCGCGCGAGTGTTCGACACCAGAATTTACATGTCTGATGGGAAGATACGTTAATCGAAGCACTCGGTTTATACCCTCTTGTTTGAGTCACTCTCCTAGTCAAATCTGAAGATGCAAGAAAGTAAAAAAAAAAAAAAACGTCACGAGAGCAGGAGAACTGTAAGACGGGCAGCAAAAGCGTTGTGCATACGTCAGCTTTCACCGAATATATGCTAGATGGCAGCACAATACCGTGCCGGATAAAGCACGAAACCTTCAGTTGGTCGTTGGGAATTCGCGTTTTACGTGCGGGGTATCGTAAGCGTGCGCACTCTTCGTGGAAAACGATGCGTGCTAACAGGCAAGATAATAGATATCTGCGACACTGTACGATGTAAGGAATACAGCTTGCTACCACAGATACCTGAGGTAGCTTCGCTTTTTTCCCGTAACTCTTTTGTAATCCTAACATAGTGTGAAATGAAAGCAGGGAAATTTTTTACCTAAATTTGTTTCTGATATACGATCATATGAATCAAACAGACAATTAGGGCAAATAAACCACAGGGGAAAGTAATTCTTGTACTTACTGTAGTCTAGTAAAGACTTGATTGCAGTCAAAGACAACAATTAGTGTTCCCGAGGCTTTCCTTGGCAGAATTGTCGATTGAATTCGTTTGATTCCACGTATGTAAAGCATGTCTAGATGGGATAGATTTTAACCACATAAATATGCTCAGCACTAGCGCCTTTGCATAATTTTTCACTCTTCGTCCAAGCGTGCACGAGCATGTTTCTACATGCACGTGTGTCTGCTGTGTCAGTCATTAACTTCAACGTCACGGATTGCGCACTCACAACTGATTTCCCTGCCTTTGTTCTCTAAGTTGTGGTATGAGACGCACGTGGAGAGCTTCCCCACCAGTGACCAGAGTCTTGCGCGCGCTCGTGCATGCAGTGCCTTTGTCTGCAAGGATCGATCCGTCCGTTCAAGTGGTGGACGTAGGCCGGAGTGCAAACTTGAGCTGCCACGTGGCTGGACACCCGGTGCACGGCGTCGTGTGGACTCATAACGGACGCACCATAACGCCCTCTTACACGTCGCGGCCAGCTCCTGCGTCTTCCTCAGCCACCCTACGCGGCAGCGGAGAAGCGAAGTCAAACTCGGCAACTGGCTTGTCCAGAATTGCGGTGCTTTCTCGCGACACGCTTCACATCACCGGTGTGAACCGACAAGACCGGGGAATGTACCAATGTCTCGTCTACAACGAGAGGGACTCGGCTCAGGGCTCAGCGCAGCTTGTAATTGGAGGTAAGCATTACTCATCAACTGCATATATGAACCAATAAAAGAATGCATGTTAAAATCGACACGCACAAAAAAGAAAAAAAAAGAGAGGAGGGGGAATGGCCGACAAGGCTGTTCCTAGTTTTTTTCTTGTCAATATTTAGCGCCTACTCTATTAATGTTCATAGATAGCCAGCTAGCTCAACAGTATATTCTGAATATTGGAAAGTGTCAATTTTAGCGTGAAATGACAACACAAGAGAGACGACAGGACAAAGCGTTTTGTGCTGTCGTTTGTATTGTGTTATCGCTTCCCGCTGAAATAGACACCAACTGGCCCGATAACGCATTCCGTTACATATATTATTGCCAGAATCTACGGATGAAGTTGTTATGTGGAATAAGTAGAACGATTTATAGGAGCATTAAGCAATGTGCATAGATAAACAGAATTCTTTGCTCTAGGTGTCACGTCAGACAACATATAAAATGTTTATTATACCTTTTAACCAGATTGGTGTCATCCATCAACCGTTTTATTGAAATGATATAGTTGTTGATACAACGATAACAAAATGACAAGTTTGAAAGAGGTATGAGTGTGGTATGCATTACCGGAAGTAAACAATATTGAATTCGCTTACAAAATATAAGGAACAGTTAATAAACAAAAATAACAGTACGTATTTTTTGCGAAACAATCTTCGCCTTCTCGCACTATGCCACAAAGAAGTCATGTTGACTATTCATGAAAGCACGAAGCAGCAACACAGGCGTAAGGCTTAACCCATGTGCGATGCTATTGCTACGTACGTGCCACCTTGCCGCAAGGTGCATTCGCTCCATCACGGCTCACAGAGGACGCTCCCGTGTTCGAACACGTGTTCACGGAGCGCCAGGCGCGGCCCGGCACCACCGTATCACTGAGGTGCTCGGCTTCGGGAAACCCGTTGCCGCAAGTTACGTGGTCTCTGGATGGCGCACCAGTGCCCGAACACTACCACGTCCGTATAGGAGACTACGTCAGCGGAGAGAGGTAAGCATCGCACGACTTGTATTGAATGCGCTGTGTTCTGAGTATTGCTGTCCCGTAAGCATGCGTATAGCTAGTATATGGCGGTTGGAAAATGGAGAAAGAAGGGACACGATCCCTGTCGTGGCACTCGCATTTCGTTTGTGGTGCAATGCTGTAGGGAAGCGGTGGAGGCAAGATGTTTCGATGGAGGCGAAATGCTTGACTGTAAGCTCATTGTGTGATGTCAGTTCACGTTAAGGAACACCAGATGGTCGAAACTTTCAGAACCCACCTCAAAGGAGGGTTGTGAAAGTTTCGACCATCTGGCGTGCCCCATATTCACATTGTGGTTTTGGCATGTAATATCTAAGATATTATTGGGAACAGAAAGAGAGATTACAAAAACAAAGAGATCATACATAAAAAGAGAGGAATGAAGTCATGCGCACAGTTTGCGAGTGCATCAATCCTAAGGGTTCGTCGCACATATATAACCACTTCGCGTTGTTCAGTAACGCTTGCGTTGCCTTCTTCGCCATAAAAACATAAGTCCTACAATCTTGGCTGTAGAAAAACGTCTTGGGTTCAGGCGGTTTAGGTGCATCCGCCGCGGCTATAGCTGGGTTTAAGAGTGAGCCCAGCTACACAGGATGTGTTGCATTGTCTCTTCGGTCACGTTTACGTACGGAAGCCCACAGGGGTATATAAGCTGCTCACATATACACACATAAGATAAATTAGTTTGCTGCATTGATCAGAAAGCCCTGACAGAGTGTCCCGGAGGGGCACACATTGCTGAAAAACATGCTCACGTGGATCACTTATAGAATCATTCTTTATTGCAGCCGTAAACTGAGCATATGAACTATCAAATTCTAACCAGTCTCTTGTTTTCAGTTATTTTGAGGACGTTTAATTTTCTGTACTTTTGGAATAGTGCAGTTAAGTTGAGCTTTTTAAAGCCCACAAAAGACGTATACTAGATTCTTACACTATTGTTCCAGGCAGGGATGACTGGGAAGCGCACCCCCCCCCCTCCCCCTAAGTTTGTCTAGTTAGCTATATTCGCGAACACGTTTTTTTCTTCTTTGTTGCTTGGAAGGACTTTGGCTTTCAAAAAATCAAGCCTTAGCCTTTCCACCCACCCACTCATCTAAAAAAAAATCCTGCCTACGTGCCACGTTCCATAGAGTTCTGCGATCTGCAACTGCAGCGTTTCCTTTTTAGATAAGGACAAGTCACGGAAACGAAACACAACGCCTAATGAAAAAAAATATTAACGCTAACAAATGAGCTTACTACGAACAACGTACGTATACGTACTGCCACTAAGTAAATAAAGAAGAAGCCTTCGGAAAAGAAATCACGTAGTCAGTAAAGGAAGCGTAGATAGCTCCCTAAATTTTTCAGGATTTCATCAATACCTCCTTTCGCATACCCTCAAAAAAAAGCAATTGCGTAAATAAAAATGAGTGGGCGAACAGTCAAGTGTACTGCAAGATTAATTTAGCTACCCGAAGCCCTTTAACTGAAAGCTGAAGGCGTAAGTTGGTGACGCAATAAAGAAAGCCAACAAGGAACATATAAAGAAATGGGGAATCTGTCGTATTAGTGGGCCGTTCTCATCAAGCTCGTGACTGTGTAAAAGAAGTAATGGCAGGTCATGAATGCAGGGGGGTTAACCAGATTCGAACAACTGGTTTGCTACCTTCCACGTGGAAACACGATGAATCACTGTACAGGTTGCACTACCAGTACTTGGCTGGATAAATTACTTGGAGCCAATGTTCACAGGCACCAAGAACACAGGTTTTACCAAGAACACAGCTTTTTGGGAACACTTTAAGCACCACAGACATTTACTCTTGGGTGTCTATGTTTTGCTTATTCTCTTTTCCGGCATATATATAGACTAGTACACAGCTACATCAATATGACCGGGGTGCGAGTGGAAGATGGTGGCCTCTACAGCTGTGTGGCTCGCAACGGCGTGGGCCAGCGTTTCTCACACAGCCAGGCTCAACGTGCTCGGCAAGCCCTTGATTCGACCAATGGCCAACGTCACGGCACTAGCTGGACGCACAATGAAGCTACATTGCGCCGTTGCTGGACATCCAATAAAGAACATCGTCTGGCAAAAAGGTGACTTTCTTAGCAATAGCGATTTAAAACGATCTATCAAGTCATTCAAACGAGAGGTGCTTGCAAGCGTTTTGGCAACTGCCACAAAGAACTAGTTATAGCAGCGATGACCACACTATCCTTGCCTATGTACTAACTTAAAAACGTCGTCGATAAGCTTTCGCAATCAACTGAATAGCATACGCTGTCGAAACAAGTTCGCAAGAACATGTCTATGAAGCAGTTCAAGCATATCCTTAGGAAGCTTGTACTTGCACGAGTGATTTATAATCAGGTGTTGCAAAACAGACATGGCGCGATGAGCGTGCAATTTTTAATAATAAGCACGATATGTCGTCAGCCGACCGTTTCGTCTAGACGGTCACTCCAAAGGAAACACAATAATGTAGGCGTTAGCCTGAATAGAGCATATTATACTCATAACTTTGAGCATATTAGGTTCACTGCAGGAGAATGGCTTCTCCTAATCATGTATTTTACCTATCTTGTGCCAACCGATTCTCTTTTATTATGGTGTATTTCGTCACGTCATCTAATTCTCAGCCCTTTTCGACTTGCGCTTCCCTTTTCTTGGTAGCCACCAATTCTGTTGAACTTACTGTCCACCAGTTGTCTGTTCTACTCATTATTGACCAGTCCACGTCCACTTTCACTGCTTCATCTCTAATAAGATATCTATATCCCTCTTCTTACCCATTCTGTTGTCCTCCGATTGCTTCATGTTACTCGCAGAAGTTTTTGTTGCATTTTATTGAATGCATAAAGTTTCTCGCTAATATTTTATGCAAGATAGAAGATAAATGCGCATAAGACAGACAAGTGGCTTGAGACACACAGCGTTCCAGGGGCGTAGTCAAAGGGGGAGGACGACTTTGAACTTTACGATATTTTTTTTATTTTGCTGGAAGCGTGTGTTTACATTTTTTTAATTCTCGTCTGTGCGTTTGCGTGTATGCAAATATACAGGCACACAAACGCACGCATGAATATACAACATAAACTATGATTGGACAGACTCCTCAAAAAAATTCTGGCTACGCAACTGCAGCGCTCTTATGTGTCAAGGCTCTTCTCTGTCTTTGATTTATGCCAGCGGGGTTGGACTCGGTGCCGTGCTTGCGCAGCTCAAATCGGGATTCCAGGAGTACGTAGTCGCATACGCAAGCCGTACCCTCACCAAAGCGGAGAAGAACTTTTCTGTGACAGAGAATGAGTGTCTGGCAATTATATGGGCTCTAGGAGAATTTAGACCGTACCTATATGGTCACCCTTTCGACGTAGTCACCGATCACCATGCACTTTGTTGCTGCATGGTGATCGTCCATGCATCAACAACATGGACCACCATGCAGACTTTTACATGCGTGTTGTCTACAGGTCTGGCCGAACGTCCCACTGATGCCGACGCCCTATCGCGTTCACCTGTATCATCGGAAAACTCTGCCTGTCTATCTGCTCGTAGACGAAACGGTTGCGTTTGCAGCAAACTGTGACATGGCGTCTGAGAAACGTAACGATGACTGGATCAGCGCGTTTCTGCGATTTCTTTCAGACCCGTCGACTTCTGCATCTTCTCGAATATTGTGCCGTCAAGCGGCTCACTTTAAGACCCGAGATGGCCTCCTTACCGCAGGAATTACAAGTCTGACTGGCCGAAAGTGGTTACTGGTCATACCTCGCCATCCTTCACGCTGCAATATGTTCAGCTTTTCATGCTGACCTCTCAATGCGCACAGGCGGGCATCTTCAAAACATACGCTTGGCTTTCCTCCCGGTTTCCTTGGCGAGGAATGTACACCTTTTTGCGCAAGTACATTCAGTCATGGCCGCAGTGCCAACGACGGAAAGCTCTGCCTCATCACATCTCTGGCCCGATCCAGAATATCCCTTGCCCAGCCAGGCCTTTCGACCTCATTGGAATCGATCTGTGCGGGCCTCTTTCATTCACGGCTTCAGGAAACTGTTGGATCGTTGTCGCTGTCGACTACTTGACGCGATCCGCAGAGACAGCCGCTTTGCCTGCTGCTACAGCATGCGACGTATTGTCTTTTTTCTTGCGGAACTTCATTCTGCGTCACGGCGCCACGCGTGAACTTCTCAGCGAAAGAGGACGTGTCTTCCTCTCCGAGCAATATACGCCGATGATATAACAATCTGGACGAATCGGGGCAGTTTAGGAGAAATTGAAGACCGCCTGCAGCAGGCCGCCTCCATTGTGGAGGACTATGCGGCACAGTGTGCGTTGCAGTGCGCTCCAACCAAATCTGAATTCCTGCATATCAGAGAAAACATTAAAGATAGGACGACCCTGAACTTGATGGTATCAGGATCAACAATACGAGAGGTTTTAGAACTACGAATCCTTGGCCTTCTGATTCACAACAGAACAAAAAACAGCACCACGCTAGACAAGCTACGGAAAATTGGAGAACAGGTAGGGCACATGATCCGCCGAGTGTCAAACAAGCGCGGGGGGCTACGAGGAAGGGACGCGATTCGGCTCGCCAATGCTTTTGGAATTAGCAGGATTCTATATTCAATACCGTACTTACGAATGACTAAACACGAAGAGAACAGAGTCGATGCTATTCTTAGGAAAGTAATTAAGCGCGCACTTGATTTACCCATCAGCACTTCAAATCAGAAACTCTCTGCATTGGGAGTCTTTAACTCTATACAAGAGCTCCAAGAAGCCCACCTCACAAATCAATATACGCGTCTTACGCAGACGCCCCCCGGGCGGCGCCTACTGGACCGCCTCTTGATCCGACACGAATGCGAAATCGAAAACGCGCAGCGTATTACTGAACTTTGGAGAACAAAACTCTGGGTGTCCCCGCTTCCCCGCAATATGACCAGGGAGGCGCACCAGGGTAGAAGGCAAGCACGCGCTGAGGCACTTGAACAACGGCTTAGCTCCCGTTATGGGGTCTATTACGTCGATGTGGCCGGGCCGTTACCTAGGGGATACTATACGGCGGCGGTAGTACATCAAGGAACGCAGGTGGACGGCCTCATTTTCAAAGCCACAAGCTGAAGTAAGGCGGAGGAGGTGGCCATTGCACTGGCAGTATCCCATCCAAACTCAAAACAAATAGTTACAGACTCTCGAAGAGCCTGCGAGAGCTATCTTGCAGGAGAAATTTCTCCATTGGCTAATAGACTTTCAAAATTCAGCATCAGGAACCGCGATCCTACCCCAAAACGTCTTATATGGACTCCGGGACATCACGGTCTACAGGGTAACGAGGCTGCACATGCAGCGGCCCGCGTGCTTACTTCCCGGGAAACTCCCCGTTCTCCTGATAGACCTGAACGTCCCGCACCTTTAACACGGTTTCCAGAAATCAAAGAATACTACATTGAGCAACGTCGCTTGTATCCTGCACCAGCAAAGGGACTCTCGAAAACGAAGGAGCGCATCCTGCGGCGCCTACAGACAAATACACTGCTCTGTCCAGTCATACTAAAATATTACGACCCTAAAATAAGTGGGCAGTGCCAGTACTGTGGGGAAGTGGCCAACACTTACCATATGGTCTGGGCCTGCCAAATGAACCCAAAATTAACACCTTTCTCAACCCCACCAAAAAGGACTGGGAGACGACCCTACTCAATAGCTCCACACTAGAGGAACAGCGAACTCTAGTGCAGCGGGCTCGGGTGGCGGCCTCGACTAATGACGTCCCGGACTAGGGATGTCAACCAGCCCGGTGGGGATAAGGGCTATCTGGCACAGCCAGCATCAATAAAGGGTTTTTCCTCCTCCTCCCTCCTCTCCGAAGTCATCAACACACTCCTTGCCGAATGCCGTATCATTCACCGGTTTACCACCGCCTCACATCCCCAAACGAATGGCTTGACGGAAAGATTCAACCGTACCCTTGGCGACGTGATATCTAAGTATGTTGCCTCAGACCACTCCGATTGGGACCTCATTCTGCCTTTTGTGACATACGCATACAACACTGCTCCACAGGCGACTGTGGGCTTTTCGCCATTTTTCCTGCTATACGGCCGAGACCCTTCCACCACGCTAGATACCATTCTGCCCTACCAAACCGATGCCTCCGAGTTTACGCCCATCTATGAAGCTGCCCGCCACGCCAAGGAATGCCGTAAGCTCGCCCAGTCGTTCTTAACCATCGACCAATGGAGACAAAAATCTCGGCGTGATGATAACCATCCGTACCCTGACTTTGTTCCGGACACCCCTGTGTGGCTTTGCGTTCCAGCGGTCCCTACAGGCCTTTCTTCGAAACTTGTTTCAAAATACCAGGGACCCTACCGCGTTGTCTCGCAGACTTCATCTGTTAACTACATCGTCGAACCCATTACGCCATCCACACACCAGGGCTTTCCGAGTCGTGAAACTGTTCACGTACAGCGGTTGAAACCATATTACGATCCACTCGTACTCTATTCTCCGTGAGTCGCCAGGATGGCTCCTTTTCCGACGGGGGACGATATGTAGTGAAGAGGAATGTCCACTACTGCAGCGACATCAACACGTGGGCGCGAGGCACGAGCGAGGACTGCGTGGTTGCTAATACGACGACGCCCGTATACCCTGCCAGCTCTTGCTGCTTCTGTACTGACGCTGCTACTGCTTTTGACCTCGCATTTAAAATATATATATATATATATACATATATAAGGGAAAGAAGTTTATACCTAAGGGCTTGTTTTTCCGTGTTTTGACACAATATTGATGAGATCTAACAGACAATAATGCCAATGAATGTATAGGGGAAGTTATTAGAACCAATGTAATGTAAATAGGTAGAAAGAAAAGTGGCCTTATTGTCTGTTAGATCTCATATATATATATATATATATATATATATATATATATATATATATATATATATATTGTTAAGACGTTTATTGGCGGACACTCGTCGATGATCCACGACAGCGACAGTCAATGCGGGGACCGACTCTCTGCACGAGCTGCTCTTCTTCTTATGAAAAGGGCAACCTACTAAAAGGCACTGGAG